TGAAAAGTCTACCTTCAAAACAACATAGGGCATGACAGTATTACTGCCCTCTAACCTTATTCTTCAACTGCATCCTATCAAAGACTACCTCAACTGCCTGCTGTGTTCCTGGTGGGCCATGCAGCAAGCAGATGTGCGCACAGAGAGCCCCTGCCCCGAGCTGGCTATCATATGGCTAGAAGCGGCTTCTCTGGAGACATATAGCTTCATTGGCTATACCAAGGGTGTTTTATGTATGGCTTTCAAAGCTGCAGCTACTGCTGCTGCTGCGATGGTGGCTGTAACCTGGCCTTTCATGTCTCCATCTAGACAGATGCATGATTGAAGAAAGGATTCATCCAAGCCCAGTGTCACATTGGCTACCTGGAAAGGAGCCAAGCCCTCATTTAGCAAATTGCTCTGTTTAAATGCAGCTGCTCTGTCTCAGCGTTGATGTTACCAAGACAGATCGCATGATTCCTCTGCCTTCATGTATCTAGGCCGTTCCTCTCAGTCTGCCTAGCAACTTAAAAAGGCTGTTAATGCATGACAAGGCACTTGACCTGCATGATTTCCAAGCCAAGGGGGAGCATTTGTCTTGTACCAAGTCGTCCTCTCCTCAAAAGCAAGGGCACATTGCCTGTGCCCCCTGTCTTAATGAAGGCTGCTTTTATTAAGAATCTCATTAAGCTTCACAGTGCCCAGCCATCCAGCACGGTAAATATTACTCTGTAGAAATGTGCCCAGGGGTGTGGTGCAGAGTTGGCTGGGCAACTGCTTGCCTTGGTAGTCAGGAAGCGATCTCAAACCTTGGATCTCTGCAGAAGGAAGGGTGTTGTTTGAAGGTCTAGTAACCTCTCTGGAAAGATGGATTACAGCCATCAACAGATAATGTCAACAAAGCCCCTGAGATGGTTTGAATAAGAGTAGGAAGCAAAATGACTTCAGAATAACAATGAGCTGTCAGGTGTTTTACCTGGGTTTTCTTTCTTTCAAAGGAGGACCTAGGAGAAAGGAGACCAGCAAAACTACAAAGTTTATTATCAGGCTGTCACTAGCTACTTCATCTTGAGGCTGATCATCATCTGTTACTTACCAGAGCAAAAACAAAAAGTCCAGTGACTATTATTATTTTCATAAATGACTCAACTCATTTGGGATTATAGTATATTGTCTGAAAGCCAGAAGCCTAAATCTATAAGTTTATCAAATAAATATGTGCTCAGATCATACCTACGCCCATTGGAAAAACCTAGTAGATGAACTTTACGGTTAGAACCATTTGGAGCTAGGCCCTGTAATCCTAGCTATTTAACAGGCTGAGATATAAGGATCAAGCCTGAAGCCAGCTCTTGCAGGTAAGTCTCTACTTTACCATAAAAATACCAGAATTGGAGCTATGGCTCAAGTGGTAGAGCACTAGCCTTGAGCAAAAAAGTTAAGGGACAATGCCCAGGCCCTAAGTTCAAGAGTCCCAGTACTCTCTGCTACACACACACACACACACACACACACACACACACACACACACACACACACACGCACACACACGCACACACACACACACACAGAGGCACACACACAGAGGCACACACATGCAAAATACCTTTTGGAAGATAAAAATGCAATCACAGGAGTAATGGACTTTGCTGTCAAATTCCCAATGCAATTCTGGGCAATTTACCTTTGAACCTGTTTCTTCTGCAGATAGACAGTTACCTCTTGAAGTTATTTTTAAGAGCGATTGAATCAGTCATTACATGCAGTAGGAACTCAACAAATCTTACAGTGATAGTTCCAGGTTTTTTAATTTATTTCTTTGGCAGTACTGGAGATTGAATTCAGGATCTTACATTTGCTAGGGAAGTACTCTACCATGTGAGTCATGCCTCTTTTTGCTTTGGCTATTTTCAAGGTAGGGTCTCACCTAATGACTGAGCAGGCCTGGGCTGCTTCCATGTGCTTATCCAGAGCAGCATATGCCACTTTGCCCAGCCTTCGTGCCTTTCCCCTAGCTAGGATGATAGGCACATACCACCCTACCTAGGCATTGGTTGAGATGAAGTTTCTTCTCCTTCTCCTTCTCCTTCTCCTCCTCCTCCTCCTCCTCCTCCTCCTCCTCCTCCTCCTCCTCCTCCTCCTCCTCCTCCTCCTCCTCCTCCTCCTGCTGCTGCTGCTGCTGCTGCTGCCGCTGCCACCAAGGTTGGCTTAAAACCATAATCCTTCCATTTTCTACCTCTTAAGTACTTGGGATTACAAGCTTGAGCTACTGGGCCTAGTCATTATCTTCACTTTTCATACTGGAGGAATTCAGAGGAAATAAGGAACATGTTGGACAGCGGCAAGCAAGGTAACTTTTATCTTTCTCTCTTTCCTTCTTTCTTTCTCTCTCTCTTTCTCTTTCCTTTTTTCTTTCTTTCTTTCTTTCTTTCTTTTTGGTGCTGGTACTAGGGCTTGTACTCAGTGCTATCCCTTAGATTTTTTGCTCAAGGTTAAGAGGCGTGACTCTATTTCTTTCTAGCTTTTTGCTGATTAATTAGAGATAAGAGTCTCACAGATTTTCTTGGCTTTGATCTGTCTCCCGAGTTGCTAGGATTACAAGCGTGAACCACTGGCTCCCAGCTAACCTTTATCTTTTGAAGTGAGACAATCATGTCAGTCCTGAAGGAAACAGAAACCTGGGTAGAATGAGAGTATCTGATGAATGGATAATGTGAATAAGCCATAAAGATGAGACAGAGGTGAGGAAGAAGGTGAGACAGACAGGTGGACTGAAGGAATGATCTCAAATTTGAGGAATCGGAATGAAATTTTTGAGTGAATGTGTTTTTTGCCCACTGATAAAGGACCTTGAAAGTCAAACTAAAGGGCATTTCAACCCAAACTAATTCCTAACTAATTATTATTTTGATTTTGTGAGCAGGAAAGCGGCAGCGTGAGGGCTGTGGGCTGAAGGGGACTACTTGGTGTGGTTTACTGGAGAAATACAGGCTGGGCTCTGGGGTCTGAAGCCAGGCACCATTCTAGGCAGGATGGATGAGAGGCCTGGGTGAAGGCTGGGGTTCCCCTGTCACAGAAAAGTGACCGATTCAATGATGCTGATGTAATTCCCATTAAGAGAGTATGCAGACCAGAGGCCCACATAAACACTAGGCAGGAAGGAGAGAGCAAAGGAGAGAGAAAATTATATGCATGGGGCCCCTTCTCTGTGCTAGATGCCAGGCTGGATACTTTCTCAGCTATTCTTCCTTAGCTGGCTCAGAAGCATAGAACCCTAGGACACACCGAGAGAGCGGAAGCAAATGGAGCCACCAAGTTTTCTGGCTGTCTGAGCTAAGGCCATAGATTTGATGTTGTAAGCATTGAGAATGAAATATCTGTACAAGAGCCCAGGTCAAATGTCTATAGAAAAGCCCAGGTCAAGTATGAGGATCCTGTCAGAAGAAGCAAGCTCTAGTTGGGGAACCATATACACATACCTTACTGGCTTAGGGAAGACAGCTGAGGGGTAACCATCAAGGGTCTCTGGTAAGAGTGGGGACAAGATGGCTTTGTCTTCCAAGGACTATTTGAGTATTTATAACATCCTTCACAGGCCATGCAAAACTTTCAATAAGGGCAGAGAGTCTTGAGCATCCAGTGAAAATGTACCAAATGATTGCATGGACCAAATGATTTCATGTTCTAAATGACCTTGTGGGCTGGGCATTTCCCACCCACTGAACACAAGCAACGAGCTGAAAGAAAAGAGGAACTGGCAGAAGAGAAGGGATACAGGTATGGCCAGAATAGAAGAGGTGATTATCATCTGAGACATGACAGGTTGAGAAAACTCCATTTGATTCATTAGAAATTAAACCATGGTGAGAAGATGGTAGTGGGGAACAGATCGAGGAGCTGGGTGGCAGGGCTTTGGGGAAGGAGTGACAAGCGAGAAAATGATACATCGATCTGAGGAGAGGTATGGAGGGAGGGGAGCAGGAGATGGCGATTCCTTGAAATACAATGAGTTTCTAAATGGTTAGATAATGACACAGAAAAGTGACAGCTTCAACGATGCTGGTGTAATTCCCATTAAGAGAGTATGCACGGTAAGAAAACCTTACACAAAGTACCTGACACATATTGAGATCTGAGGAAGGCTAGTAAGAAAATGGTATTACATACATTACATGACATTATATACAATGTCAAGAACTCAGCTAAGATTTTGGCTTCTCTCCGGATTAATCTGCTTGAGCTCAGAGACCAGGGCAATTTTTTTTTTTAGCAAATCCAGTTCTGCTTCTTACAACCTCTATTGCCTTGAGCAAGCCATCAATTTCGGTCCTGAAATGGGAATAGTAAAATGGCTGACCCTATTGGGTTATAATTAGTCATCATAAAAATTAGAATAATTTTTAAGGTGGGTGCTGATGGCTCACACTTGTAATCCTAGCTACTCAGGAGGCTGAGATCTGTGGATCACGGTTTGAGGCCAACCCCAGGCAGGAAAATCCATGAGAGTCTCATCTCCAATTAACTAGCAAAGAAAGCCAGAAATGGACTCATGGCTCAAGTGATGAAGCACCAGCCTTGAGCAAAAACACTCAGGGACAGTATCCAGGCCCTAAATTCAAGCTCCAGGACCAACACACACACACACACACACACACACACACACACACACATTGATTTTTTTTTTCATTTTTGAGACATGGTCTCCTTAGGTAGCTCAAGCTGGCCTTTGAACTCTCAATCATCAAGTCTCAGCCTCCCATGTGCTACCAAGTCTGGCAACCATGTAGGATTATTGTGCGGATTTAATGAACTAGAACTAGAACGTGCAAAACATTTAATGGATGCAGTACTAGTCACCTATTCAAGGAAATAATCTTCAGTCAGTCAGAGTAATCCTGGAAAATACCATGTACTGGCTACCAACAAATTAGCAGAATTTTGACTCCAGAGGAGGCAAACATTATTATTATACACAACTTGCCGTTGTGCAATATTTTCGAATGCTGTGTCAAGTGCTGATCATGGTGAGAGTCATGCAGCAGGGGATGGAGGTTCTTAAGTGCAGGATCAAGTGCAATGATGAGCCCCCCTGGGAATCTGAGCCTGGCACTCAGACAATGCAGCCTGGCCATGCTCACATTCCCGTCAAGGTAACGGCAGCTCCAGGGACTCTTCAGTGCAGAAGTCCTTCTTTCTGGAGAGAAAGAAAGCAAGCCAAAAAAGCATCCATCCTCTTTTATTTTATGGGTTTGTGTGTGTGTGTGTGTTTTAAATTGGTAATGGGCTTGAACTCAGGTCCTGGGTGCTTCCCTGAAGTTTTTCACTCAAGGCTGCCACTCTACTCCTTGTACCACCTCTCCACTTTTAGCGGTTTTGTGGTTAATTGGAGATAAGAGTCTCACAAACTTTCCTGCCTGGTCTGGCTTCTAACCTTGATCCTCAGATCTCAGCCTCCTCAAGAGTAGCTAGGATTGTAGACATCAGCCACCAGCACCCAGCTCCACTTCCTTTTAAAAGGAAAACTGTTGTTTGTTGTTTCTGCAGAGAGAATTCAAGCTTTTAGCATATCTGAAGTAAATGGGATTTTTTATTTCTGAAAGAGACTTATTTTTCTTTCTTTTTAACTGTATTGCAGGGATGTGTGAACATTCTGATTTTGGCATCTGTTGGTGAATTATTAAGGTAACTATTGAAGTTGAAATGCAATATCAAAATAAAAGGGATAGTACTTTGTTTTATAAAGCAAAGGTAGAATCTTTATATATAACTATTTGCAGAAGGTACAAATAAAAGCTCACAAATGTGCTCAAGATAGTTTAAAATTTCAGATTGTAATGTTAGATTGCAGTGTTATATTTCTACTCCCTGAAGTATTCATTTCTCGGCTTTGCTGATACACCCATCATGGCTGTACCACCACTGTAGACTTCCAAAGTGGCATGCATTCATTCACAAAACACTTTGTGACATCACAAAACATAGTTTGGTCCCAGGGATAGATGAGTGAAAACAAAATTCATCCCAGCACAGGTCAGGATGAACATTCCAACCGCACATAAAATGTTCAGAGGGTCAGATAAAACATAATCACCAGGTGGCCTTTGAAAGTCATCGTTAATAAATCTCATAACAAATAATCTCCCAAGTTCAATGGCTTCTTAAAACACAAGTTTATTCCCACTCTAGTTAACAGGTCTTCAGCTGCATTTGGTGGGTGGGCTCCACATGGTGAGTCAGGGACCCAAGTGGCCCTAAAGGTTTGAGACGTCTGCATTCAGGCAGCCAACTGGATGGAGGGGTTGTGCAGAAAGGTTATAGAGGTGATAACTGTCGGTGCCATATGCCACTTCTACCTCATTCAGAAGTTAGTTATAGGCTACTTGAACTTCACTTCACGCTACATGTGAATCTTTCCCTCTATCCCAGTCTTTTGAAGTTCTTTCCCCTACAGTGCTTGGATCTAATTCTGCCTCTCTTCTGGGAAGTCTCTCTAAGCCCAGCACACACACCTCCCTCTGTAATGCTCATAGTCTGCATCACACCAGGGCCTTTCCCACTCACCACCTTAACACCAGATTGTGTAGACATGGATTCGTTTTCTAATGGAGTATACACTACCAGGCAGAAAAGCACCTGTTTCCTAGTGGGCACTCAGCTCATAATTGTTAGAGAGGGAGTATATGTGAGGCATATATTTATTGACTTAAGAGAAAAAAGTGTTTATTTGGCTCAGTTTCAGAGGTATCTGGCCATGGTCACTTGATCTGCAGAGACACAGAGATTGTTATGGCAGAGAAGGCCTGTTCACCTCATGGTGGCCAGGAAGCAAAAAGAGGGATAGGAAAAGAAGAGGCCAGGCTTCTGCTGTCCTCTTGAACAGCACACCCCTCCACCCCCTGACCCAATTTCCTCCCATAAGTCCTAGCTCTTAAAGGTCCCACCTATCACATCCCAATGGTGCCATGGGCCAGAGACCAAGCCTTCAGCATGTGGGCCTTTGGGTACATTCTGAATCCAAACCAGAACAGTAAGAGGATGTAGTGCACCCATTCAAAGGTGTGGTCCATGGTCAAACTTTCCCTGAGTCTTGACTTTAACCAGGTACTTGCCTCTGACTCAGTGTTCTTACTCATAACCTGAAAACAATCAGGCCTTTACCTCATCTCCACCCAAAAGGGCCTGAGATCCACATGAGGTAATTCAGGTATGTACAGAAGGAGGGCCAGGGTAGGCTAGCCACTTAACTCACCACCATGAGGTGATGCACACAGTGTTCCAGGGTTTGAAGCTCAGATGGCAAATCCACACTTGCCAAGAGGCTACCAAAACCCTACCTTGTATTGGCAGGACAAGGGTGTGGGAGGGAGTTACGTGGCTTCTTGGGCTGCTTCTTAGGAGCTGGAGAGATTTTCCTAAATAAATAGAAAGAGGTAAGTCAGCAAATAACAACCCTTGGCTTTTGGCTTTCATGCTAGAGAAAGAATGCTTTTTCAAACAGAAAGGAAAGACTGACTGAAATGACTATAGTTGCAATTCAAGCTATAGTCCTAACATTATTTAGCTGCCCTAAAGAGAAGTATAGTCGTCCCTCAATATTCTCAGGGGATTGCGTCTAAACCACTCCATACCAAAATCTACAGGTGCTTCCTATACAGCCCTGACCTAAAATGGCAAGGTGTTTGCATATCCTCTAAATCATCTTTAGATGACTTCTAATATCTGATATAATGGAAGTGCTAGGTGAAAAATCAGTTACACTGCCTTATTCGTGTAGTAATTACAAATGAAGGGATCTATCCACATTCAGTGCAGAGACAATTATTTTTCCTGAATATTTTTTTAAATCTGTGGTTAGTTGGAGCTGAGGGTGCAGAATCTTCAGATACCAAGGGTCAGCTGTGCAGTTGTCCTGCTCAGACCATAATAAATCCATTCACCTGCTACTAGGGGCTTTTGCTTTTGCTTGTGCCTTTGGATGACTCCTGAAATATCGCACATCATGCACAGGAAGCAGCACAGAGACCCACAAGGCTCCTTGGATGGAGAGGCCTGAGGAGTATTCATGATGGCAGGCAGGCAGCTCTGTGATCAGTTCCACCCTGGAGCCTGAGCAGAGTATGATGCCCTTCAGATTCCCTAGCTGGGAACCTGGGGGCAAATACAAGCTGCATCCTAGAGAAGCCCACCAGCTCTTCTTGTTAATATTAAGCATTGACCTTGCACAGTAAATGCAACTTCAGATTGTTCAACATGGTCTCTTGGGCTGGGCACCCACACCTGTAATCCTAACTGCTCAAAAGGCTGAGATCTGAGGATTGAGCTTCAAAGCCAGCCTGGGAAGGATATTCTATGAGACCCTTATCTCCAGTTAATCACCAAAAAGTCAGAAGTGGAGCTGTGGCTCAAGTGATAGAGCACTGGTCTCTAGTGAAAAAGCTAAGGGACAGCACCCAGGCCCTGAGTTCAAGCTCCATTACCAGACACATACACAGACACACATGCGTGCAGGCGCGTGCGCACACACACACACACACGCACACACACACACACACACACACACACACACACACACACACACACACACCCTTGATGGGGAGACTCAGGATTCCTGTGAAGTAAAGGAAAGCATCACTGATTGATTTTCAGCTGCTGGATAAAGTCATAAAAGCACTATCTCTGGAACATCTTGTTTCTTCTTAAGGGGAAAGAGATTTCCTCTGGAGGCCGAGCAGAAGCTCTGGGGCCTCTTCTGGAAAGTGATCAGCAGGGAGGGAGCTCCCTCTGTGGACCTGGAGAAGGGAAGTTCCAGCTCTTGTGGGCTGAGACATCCTCTGGGGTGTTAGTAGGCCCCCTGGAAATGGGTATGATCAGTACCGGTGACACTTGAATGTCCACAAGGGATCAGCAGTGGCTCCCCTCTGACGTCCTCTGGGAGGAGCTGCTGCCTGGGTCAAGCTGTCCATAGAAGGCCATTGACTTCAGCAGAGACTTCTGCAAAAAGCCTTTGATGATTCAGAGCTTCAAGGAGAGAGCTGCTATGGCGTGGGACTTGGGTGAACCACGTTCACTCACTGAGGGCACCATGACATAGCAAGGCAGGCTTGCAGGTAGGATGCTGAGAGGTCCTTTGTGAACTAGGAGGTCACAGGCACAGCTGTACAAAGGAGATCACCCACAGAAAGTTGAAGAAGCTCTCCTCCCAGCCCCTGGCACTGCCTGCACAGATTGTCATCCACTGTCATCCACACAAACATCCTCACACCACATAGACTCAGGAATCCACCCCCCCCCCATCATCTCAAAGTACCAGGCCAGCACCCTGTAAGACGCTCCCGCCCAGATCCTCTCCAGTGGACACCCCTACTGAAATGCCCAGCTGACACCCCTAACCTGGATCTTCCACAGCTGACACTGTCCAGGGTCTGCCATGTCCAGGTCCTCCATGGCCAATAACCCCACCCCAAACCTTCCGTGGCTGACACCTCCCTCCCATGTCTTCCAGAGTCTCTTATGCCATATGTCCAAAAGTATCTTGTAATTTCACCCCTTGAACCTGGACCACAGATCAGAGTCCCCTGTCAGTGACACCTGACACACAAGATACATGCCACCAACACATTCCAGAGACCCTTCCCAGTAACACATAAACACACCTGCACGTGTGTATATACACCTATACACACACACTTGCTCCTGTGTACAGGTTCCCTGTGTTCACACACACATTTTCATCTATATTCTTACAGTTACCCCCACACATCTCTTACTAACACACACACATTTATACACACAGATCTGTGTATACCCGGTCACTGTACACATCCCCTGTGCACACAGAGTCACCTCTACACGTCCTTGTACACACACAGCACAGACATGATGCTGGCATACTAGCAGCCCCCTCCTCTCACAGAGGTCTCTCACCAACCCCCAGGCAGAACAGTCTCTACACAGAAACCTCCCGGTGTGAAGGTCCCCAAAGGGGACCTCACAAAAACCCCTATGGGTGCACACTTACTGACTTCCCAGATGCCGCTGAAGATGCAGACATCACATTCTCTTCTACAGCTTGTCATTTCAAAGCAGCTTCTGGCTACCTGGAAAATCAAGAAAAGCCATCTATTACCAACAACCATCGAATATATATTTTTTAAAAATGCTCCAATGACATCAATCACCACATTCTCTTTCCCCTCTGGCCGGCCAAGTGGAAGCAGGCAGCACAGATCCCACCCCCCCCTTGCTATGAGGTTAAAGCCACAGGGACGCAGCTGGCAGCCCCAAGTGTGTTTCTGTGAAGGCTGGGCCCACAGTGTGATCAGCAAATAGTCCGTTTTGATCCTTGTGTCTGTGCTCAGAGACAGCTGTTCCTCTGGTGACCAGAAGAGCGGGGCGGGGGAGGAGGGGAACCTCTGCTCAGCTCTGCAGCTGACAGTCCAAAATTAAAACAATCAGAAAAAAAGAGGAAGTAATACTTCTAAAAAATCCTCAGGATTTTCTTGGAAGATAGGTTCTTCCAAAGAGGGATTTAGGCTGGTGGGTGGTGGAGGAGGAGGGGAACAGGGGTGGGGGATCAAAAAGAAAACCAAAGAGAATGGAGAAAGGGATTTGAGTGCAAGAAATAGCCCTGACCAGCTGGTGGCCATCTGGGAACCATGAAGAATGAGAAGGGAAGTTTTTGA